TGGACACTTGAGTTGTTTCCACATTTTGGCTGTTGTGAAAAGTGCTGCAGTGAACATTGGTATCCAGGTATCTGTTTGAGTCTCTGCTTTCAAGTTTGCTCATTTTTGATCTTCATATAAATAGAATTGTGTATTGTTTTGTAGTGCTTCTTTCACTCGGTATAATGTCTGTGAAATGTATCCATGTTTTTGTGTGCATCAGTTGATTCTTTTTTGTTGCTGTTTAAGAATTCCATTGTATGAAAATACCACAATTTACATATCTTTCTCCTGCTGATGGACCTTTAGATTAAGGTTTTTGACTCTTGTGAATAAAGCTACTCTGAATATTCTTGCACAAATCTTTTGCTGGACAAGTACGTTCATTTCTCGAGTATAGAAATCTAAGAGGGGGGCTACTAGCTCATTAAGTAGTAGTATCTTTAGCAACACCACTTTTCAAAATGTCTTTAGCAATTTACACCCCTCCTATCAATGTATGGGTGCTCTAGTTGCGCCCCATCCTTACCAACTCTAGATATATTCCGTCTTTTTAATTTTAGCTATTTTGGTGGCTGTGCTATTGTGTCTCATTGTATCATTATGTAACTTTAGAGGAAATCTTCAAATCTGGTCATGAAAAGCCTCCAACTTTGTTCCTTTTTAGGATTTTCTTGGCTATTCTAGGCTATGGCATATCGTTGTGTTTTTTATTTTGCATTTCCTTGATGACTTAAGATGTTGAACATCTTTTTAAATGCTGTAGACCATTTGGAAATCCTCTTTTTTAAAATGTCTATTTAAATCTTTTGTCTATTTTTATTGGTTTTTTAATTCATCTGTAGGAGTTATATATGTATTCCAAATATGAGTCTTTTTTTATAGATTTATATGCAGAAATAGATATGTTGATAATATATATCCTCATTGGTCTTTTGATGAGCAGAAATTGTTAATTTTAATGAAGTCATATTTCTTAATTTTTTGTCATTTGTTTCCTGTTTAAAAAAAATTTGTGTACTCCAAATTCATGAAAATTTTTTTCTGTTTTCTTTCAGATGATTTATTGTTCTGGTTTTCCTATTTAAGTAGATGTAATATTTTGAATGTATCTTTGTGTCAGGTGTGAGGTTGGGGTCAAAATTCATTTTTTCCCGGCACAATTTTTTTCTTCCAGCACTATTTACTAAGCAGACCATCTTCCCCCCACTGCACTAAAGTGGATCCTTTGTTGTAAATGAAGTGACCATATATGTTTGAGTCTCTTTTTGGACACTCTATTATGTTACGTGTATCCTTTTGTCTATAGTTGTGTATACCTCATGGTCTTAATTACTGTGGCTTTATAGTAAATCTTCAATTCTGGTGGTGTAAGTCCTCCAACTTTGTTTTTGGTTTTTTTTTTTCCTTTCAAAATTTTCATGACTAATCTAGGTCCTTTTCATTTTTACACAAATTTTAGAATCAGTTTATAAATTATCACAAAAAAATGATGAGATTTTCAGTGGAATTGCTATGGCTAATTCCTGAATATGCTATAGGTCCATTTATTTAGTTCTTTACTTTCTCTTGGCAATAATATGCAGTTATCAGTTTAGATGACTTGCAAAACTTTTTTGGAATTATCACAAAATAATTGATTGTTTTTAATTGATGATACTATAAATAATTTTTAATTTCATTTTCCGATGATTTATTAGAATATACAAATGCAATTGATTTTCTATATTTACCTATTATCTAGTAAGCTTGATAAATTACCTACTAACTCTAATAATTTGTTTGTACATTCTTTTGGATTTATTTTATGTACACAATCACATTATCTACAAATAGAGTTTTACCTCTTGTTTTTCAATCTTTATAAACTTTTTTTTTTTTTTTTTTTTACTTCCTTGCCTTACTACACTAGTTAAGGCTTCAAGAACCATTTTACATTCAGTGGTGATTATTTTGCTTGTGACATCAGGAGAAAGATTTTAATACTTCATCATTAAGCATAATGATACCTGAAAGATGTCCCCTCTTGATTCCTAATTTGTTGACAGGCTTTTTCTTTTTTTTTTTTTTAAATCGTGTACTTGTGTTAAATTTTATCAAAGTATTTTTCTGTATCTACTGTGATGATCTTATGATTTTCCTCCTCTCTGTTAACACAGTAAATTAGATTTTTTTTCAGTCCTTACATTCCTGGAATAAACCTTATTTGGTAATGATATATCCTTTTCATATATCACTAAATAAATTAGGTAACATATTTCAGGATTATTGCATCTATATTCATGATAGACATTTGCCTGTAATTTTCCTTTATTGTAACCCCCTTTCAGATTTCGTTATCAGAATATGCTGATCTTAAAAACAAATTGGGAAGCTTTCTCACCTCCTCTATTTACAAAAGAGTTTGTGCAAGATTGGTATCATTTCTATCTTAAATGTTTTAAAGGATTCACAAGTCATTTATTTGGTCTTGAAGATTTCTTTGTGGGAAGGATTTAATTATAAATTAATTGTCTTTAATAACCATAAAATATCCATATTTATTTATGAGTTTATCAATTTTATCTGCCTTTCAAGCTTGTAAATGTTGGCTTTGTTGATTTTCTCTATTGTACGACGGCTTTCTATTTTATTCATTTTATCTTTGTTATTTCCTTCCTTGCCCTTCCTCTGTGTTTCATTTGTTGTTTTATCTATATATTTTTTTCCTTTTCTAACATATTTATATAAGGTTATAAATTTCCCTCTAAGCACCACCTTAGCTGCATCCTGCGAGTTTTGATTCGTCATATTTTCATTTTCACTCAGTTCAAAATATTTCCTAATGTCCATCGTAATTTCTTGTTTGACTTACGTGTGTTTAGAAATGTATTGCTTAATTTCCAAACATTTTTGGATTTTTAAGCTACCGTTTCATTGTTAATTTCTAATTTAATTATTGTGTCTTCACACCTTATGGGCCAGAATACGATACAAATATTTCATGT